AACAAAATCAAACCCAAGGAAGAAAAAATAACCAAAATTAGAAATTAAGGAAAAGAAGAAAAACCTACCACATCTGGAATAAGAAGTGTCTGCTTATAAGTACCCATTCGCTCACTCATAGTCTGAAAACGGGTTTTGCACTTGTGCATTTCTGAGTTTTCCATTGCAGCATGTGCAAGTGAAAAGTAGAAAAATCTACCACATCTAGAATAAGGAGGTTCTGCTTATAAGTACCTATTTGCTCACTCTCAGTCTGAAAACGGGTTTTACACATTCCTTTGTGCATTTTTGAGTTTTCCATTGCAGCATGTGCAAGTTCATTATTTCATTCAGCTGTGTAATCAAATTCACGCTGAGATGCCATGAGGGTGGGGAGTATGATGAACAAAAGGATTTGAACGAAAGCTCTAGGTTGGAAATCTTAGGATGAGGAAAAGATTTAAAAGGGGAATCTTGAAATGTTGGAAGATATGATATAGCCGTTGGGAATTTTGGGTCTGGGGGGGTGTGGGTTACTTGGGATGAGGTTGTGTTGATAAGGGATGAGGGAGTGTTGATGAGGATTCATCCGACTTCATTTTTTTTCCTTCATATGGTTCTTAATCACATAACTAGTGCATACCCCTACAAATGAAAGAAACAAAATCAAACCCAAGAAAGGAAAAATAACGAAATTATAAATTAAGGAAAAGAAGAAAAACCTACCGCATCTAGAATAAGAAGTGTCTGCTTATAAGTACCCATTTGCTCACTCACAGTCTGAACACGGATTTTGTGCATTCCTTTGTACATTTCTGAGTTTTCTATTGCAGCATGTGCAAGTTCATTATTCCATTCAGCTGTGTAATCAAATTCACGCTGAGATGCCACGAGGGTGGGGAGTGCGATGAACAAAAGGATTTGAAAGAAAGCTCTATGTTGGAAATGTTAGGATGAAGAAAATATTTGAAAAGGGAATCTTGAAATGTTATAAGATATGATATAGCTGTTGGGAATTTTGGGACTGTATCCACATTTAAAAAAATTGGGGGGAGGATGGGGGTGTTACTTGGGATGAGGTAGTGTTGATAAGGGATGAGGGAGTGTTAATGAGGGCTCATCCGACTCATTTTTTCCTTCCTATGGTTCCTAATCACAGAACTAGTGCCTACCCCTGCAAATGAAAGAAACAAAATCAAACCCGAGGAAGAAAAAATAACCAAAACTAGAAATTAAGGAAAAGAAGAAAAACCTACCACATCTGGAATAAGAAGTGTCTGCTTATAAGTACCCATTCGCTCACTTACAGTCTGAAAACGGGTTTTGCACATTCCTTTGTGCATTTTTGAGTTTTCCATTGCAGTATGTGCAAGTTCATTATTTCATTCAGCTGTGTAATCAAATTCACGCTGAGATGCCATGAGGGTGGGGAGTATGATGAACAAAAGGATTTGAACGAAAGCTCTAGGTTGGAAATCTTAGGATGAGGAAAAGATTTAAAAGGGGAATCTTGAAATGTTGGAAGATATAATATTGCCGTTGGGAATTTTGGGTCTGGGGGGTGTGGGTTACTTGGGATGAGGTTGTGTTGATAAGGGATAAGGGGGTGTTGATGAGGGTTCATCCGACTTCATTTTTTCTTTCATATGGTTCTTAATCACATAACTAGTGCATACCCCTACAAATGAAAGAAACAAAATCAAAACCAAGGAAGGGAAAATAACCAAATTATAAATTAAGGAAAAGAAGAAAAACCTACCGTATCTGGAATAAGAAGTGTCTGCTTATAAGTACCCATTTGCTCGAAGGAAAAATAACCAAATTATAAATTAAGGAAAAGAAGAAAAACCTACTGCATCTGGAATAAGAAGTGTCTGCTTATAAGTACCCATTTGCTCACTCACAGTCTGAAAACGGATTTTGTGCATTCCTTTGTACATTTCTGAGTTTTCTATTGCAGCATGTGCAAGTTCATTATTCCATTCAGCTGTGTAATCAAATTCACGCTGAGATGCCATGAGGGTGGGGAGTGCGATGAACAAAAGGATTTGAAAAAAAGCTCTATGTTGGAAATGTTAGGATGAAGAAAATATTTGAAAAAGGAATCTTGAAATGTTATAAGATATGATATAGCTGTTGGGAATTTTGGGACTGTATCCACATTTAAAAAAATTGGGTGGAGGATGGGGGTGTTACTTGAGATGAGGTAGTGTTGATAAGGGATGAGGGAGTGTTGATGAGGGCTCATCCGACTCATTTTTTCCTTCCTATGGTTCCTAATCACAGAACTAGTGCCTACCCTTGCAAATGAAAGAAACAAAATCAAACCCGATGAAGAAAAAATAACCAAAACTAGAAATTGAGGAAAAGAAGAAAAACCTACCACATCTGGAATAATCCGAGGAAGAAAAAATAACCAAAACTTGAAATTGAGGAAAAGAAGAAAAACCTACCACATCTGGAATAAGAAGTGTCTGCTTATAAGTACCCATTCGCTCACTTACAGTCTGAAAACGGGTTTTGCACATTCCTTTGTGCATTTCTGAGTTTTCTATTGCAGCATGTGCAAGTTCATTATTCCATTCAGCTGTGTAATCAAATTCACATTGAGATACCATGAGGGTGGGGAGTATGATAAACAAAAGGATTTGAAAGAATGCTCTGGGTGGAAATCTTAGGATGAATAAAAGATTTGAAAGGGGAATCTTGAAATGTTGGAATATATGATATAACCGTTGGGAATATTGAGACTGTCTCCACATTTAAAAAAAAAAATTGGGGAGGGGGGGTGGGTTTTATTTTAGTCGGAAAAAAAAATACAAATTTATAAATAAACCCAATCCTAGACATGTATTTATAAAAAAACCCAAGCACTATTTAAACATAGAAACACACCCAAAATCAACCCCAAAGTCAACTTTTTGGGTGTGTTTATAAATGGGTTTTGAGTGTGTGTAATGATGGGTTTTTGGTGTGTTTATATGTTTAAATAGTGCTTGGGTTTTTTTATAATTTCAACCCCCATTTTGGGTGTTTTAGTGAAACTCCCAAAAAAAAAAGTGTATATTTGAAGAAAAAAATGTGCCTACATTTTGATGTATGGACTCACCCACCAATTGTTCACACTATATGAAAGACTGCTTTTTTCTTCCATTTTGACATTCAAAAGGAGGATTCATCCGACCACTAAACCACTTTACCTTGACCTCATCCTGACCTTCGATTTATCTCTCTTTCTTCGGGTGTAGGAAAAGATAGAAAGATCCTTCAAATCCAGCTGAAACCAGCTTGAGCTGGATTTCGGCATTACAACTTCTCATATTTGCTCCCTTTTCGTCCCTATTCACTGGGATGTTGACCACTCTAGGCAAAAGAGCGCTTGTTTCTTCCATTCCGACCGAGGATTCATTCGACCACTAGACCTCGACCTCGTCGTGACCTTCTATTCATTTCTCTTTCTCCGAAAGGATTCAAGGATAGGAAGGCAAAGAGCATGGAAGAGGTTGTTGCGAAAGTGAATCGTATATTTCGGAAGTGGTAAGTACGAATGTCCGATTGTTATATTTGAGAAAATTCTAAGTTGCATTTGGCAATATGTAAGTAATTTAGTGTAACTATAGTTTTGATAAAGTTAGGGTATTTGCAATATAATTGCTATTCGTGGTGCAGAATTCGGCGTTTTGTAGTATAATGATGATAACAAAAGTAAATAAAATTAAATATAACCCGTATGATTGAAACGAACATCATGTCAATAATGAGTCCATAATTAGGCACTTTTTATTGATAAGGAATAAATTGTGAAATTTTGAAAGTACAAAAAAGTTCTGAAATTGGATTGTGAAAATTTTGAAAAATTGGGGTTTCTTAGTATATTAAACATATCGATTACAAGTATGGCTGCAGGAGACCAGATTTTTGCTTAACACAAAGCTTGGTGGTAAAAATCCATGTCGAATGCAAAAGAAAAGAATGTTCTATATTCCATAATTTTCATTTGTTTGAGTCATAGATGAGAGTGGTAAGGAAATCAAAATGAAGAAAACAACTCAAAATTTTCCTTTGAGTTATTAGACATTTAGCTTAATGGCTGATTATTAGGCTTTAGGCTAAGGCTGTTAGCTTAACTTTAGTCCTAGGATATGTACAAGATGAATAAAAAACTTTTATCAAGACAAATTTATTTATTTATTTATTAACATTAAAATAAATCAAAGGTTAAAAACGATTTGAAAATCAACACTTTGCGCAAATCCTATCAAGCAAAGGATTTTACAACTTATTTTCTTTTAATCGTCATGAAGCCCCAAAAAATAAAACAGGGATCGTAATGAGTAATCAAATTGCCCAAGGAAATTACTTTTCAAGAATCAAATTGCCCTATTGTGGGTCAGGTTTGGATCGTTTTGGTTCTTTTTCTTAGGCCTTTAGGCCCTTTCTCATAAAGCTCAGAATGTGAGAATTCACCTATATTACATGAAGTTATGAACACCTAATTAACGTGTGGAAATGCTATAATGAGGGGTTTTAAGAGCAGAAGTTAGTGTTTTGATGGTGATGGTGGTGGGTTTGGTAAGTAATGCACCAGCATCAATTATTTAATAGGTAGTATCTTTGAGGTACTTTATATAATAGGTAGTTCAAAAGGCATAAATTATTTTACATATTTATATAAAAAAAACTCAAGAATTAGTTTATGTCAATTTAGAAATTCTAACTTTTGTCAAAATCCCAAGTTTATTTTCTTTAAACGCACCGTGTGTTAAGGGTTTTAATGGTGATGGGTTTGGGTTAAAAAGAATTTGGGTGGCGGGCTTTTTTATAGTTGAAAATAGAAAAAGATATTGGCCCAAAACAAAATTAGCCAAAGTTCTAGAGAGCAGGTTTTGAACTCCAGACCTCTAATTTAGCACGCGAAGACCAAACCACTTGCTGTTTCCACTCAGTTGTGCCATCGTTGCATCAGAGACTTATTTAATCGCTTATATTTGCAGCCCAATTTCAGACCCCCAAAAAAAAAAAAAAAAAACGTTGAGGGTTAGGGTTTAAGGGGTTTCTCTCTTTCTCAAACTCTGTGACTGAGTTGAAGCAGAGAGTAAAACATGCCTCGTACGACTACACTCGATTGTCCTGGTTGCCCTCCACTTCGAGCTCTAACCTTCGACGAGCTTGGTCTCATAAAAGGTAACTGTATCCTAAGCTGCCCATTTCTTTTTCAATCAAAATCAACTGCTAATTCTTTTGCTAATAGTCTAAACAACAATTTTCTCTTCGTCATTAATAGTTATTGAAGCTCGAGGTAAGCAAGGAAGAGCAGAACCTAAGGTGGTTGAGAGGTGGGGCGACCCGGATTCCTCTAAATGCGTGCTCGCCGCCTCTATCGATGACCGAAAATCAGACCCAGTATGTGTTGCTTTGTGTTTGTTGTTTGTTTGTGTTAGAATTAATACAATGTGTTTCGGTCTGTTGAGATTTTGCATTTTATTCAGGTGTGTCTTGGGAATGTGCTTTAGTTTCAATTGGGCATGTGTTGCTCTGTTTCTTAATACTTAATATGTAAAAATGTATTTTTATGAATGGTTCCTTATTTATTTAACTTTTTCCTTTCTGCTATGTTGCAGTTACTAGCTGTTGCAAGAAGAAATGGCATGGTGAGTGCATCTTTGGACTTTGAATATGTGGGTGCAATTTGTGGTTTCTGGTTCAGTAGAGGGGGTGATAAATGTTAGGTGCTTATATGTATTGCAGGTTGAAGTTCTTAATCCTCTTAATGGGGATCTCCGTTTCGCAGTCTCCAATGCCAGTATTAATGGCGTTCAGTCTGAAGATGACCCCGTTGCTGGATTGCATTTATTTGCCAAAAAGAAGTCGGAATTGGCTTCTAGGTAACATGCCTTCTGTGCTTACATGGTTTTTCTACCAATATCAATGAGCAACCACGAACCCCCATTTTCTTAATTTCTAGTAAAATTAGACTACTGAATCATCCTATGAGACATGGGCTTGGGTATGGTTGGGTGTTCAAATTTTAGATTCACTCGTTTTTTAATATTTTTTTCACCAAGTTTGAGTAATTGCAGTACCCTTACTCATATTGTATAGGATGCATTGTCTGGTGCAGTGGTTTGTGGAATGCATCTCATACATGCACAATGTATTAATACTTGTATATTTCATTTGTTTACTTTCTGTTTCAACTGCTTTCATGTATGTGAGGTTATGAACCTAAACAAGTGTCCCCTGTAAGCCAAGTTGTCTTGCACTTAAACCTGTGAGAGATGTCTCTAATTTTGCTATATTCTTATGTCAGTCATTGATCTCTTCCAGAAGTTTTTATATATTTAAAATCAGTGGTATTGTTCCCTCAGTGCATACAGTTATGGATCTTTTTTCAATTATTGTTTGCTGTTAGGTCTTGCACTTTGCTTACGTGTACAACAAATGGAAATGCAAGCATAAGATCCTTTGAAGTGAATAAACCAGCCGCTGATGTTGCTTCTACTGGGTCTTCAAGAACGTGGATTGTAGGTGGCGGCGGCAGTATCTTATGTTCTAAAGTGGATGGAAGTGAAAACTATTTTTTATTTGGAGGGTGAGTTCTCATTTTGAGTAACTTACTATAGGAGGTTCAAGATCTACGTAATTTTAATTAAACAAAGAGAATGTCTGGAAGCGTATTGACCTTATTATTTTCAAATTCAGGAAGCGTGTTGAGATGAATGTCTGGGATCTTGACAGCTGTGCCAAGATTTGGACAGCAAAACCTGTGAGCATTTCTATCTTCCCCCATTACATCTTGAACAAACTGGCACATAAATTTTTCATTTGCAAATGCATGGCCTACATTTATTCTGACCTTTTTGACCCTGAGCAGCCTCCTAAAAACAGCCTTGGTATCTTTACCCCAACTTGGTTCACATCTGCCACATTTTTGAGTAAAGATGATCATCGTAAATTTGTGGCTGGCACCAACAGCCATGAGGTAATAATTGCTTACAGTAGGATGCTTTTTTCTTATTATTTTCAGTTGGGAATAAACTACTTATGGAAAGTACTCCCTTTCTTTATGTACTTTGGACGAATGCTTCCTATTTCCAACAGTAGGCAGTTATTCTGCATTTTTGTGGTTATAATATAACATAATATTTGCCATATGAAATTATAAACCCCTGTGCAAATTAGGAATATAGTATAGGTTTTATTAAAAACTGGATGACTTTGTGTACTTGGAGTCCTATCATGTTTATTCTTCTTTTAGAAGTTCAGTTTTTTGAATGTCTACTCCTAGTAGCTTACCCAAAAATGATTTTATTGACACCTTATGACTTGTTTTATTCATTAGGTTCGTCTTTATGACATTTCTGCTCAGCGAAGACCTGTCATATCATTTGATTTTCGGGAGACTGCTATTAAATCTGTTGCTGAAGATCTAGATGGCTATACCATCTACGTAGGGAATGGATCTGGTGACCTCGCTTCTTTTGACATACGCACAGGTGCATTGATTTTTAGTGGGCACATAATGATGTTTTTGTTTGCAATTGTGTTTTGCACATATGTTTTTTAGTACATAAGTGGTGGGGTCAATGGGGGCAGTGCCTTTTGTATGGACTGGGCTTAGGGCTTTCACATTCTTGCTTGAAGTTGAGTTTACTATCCATAGGATGCCCCTTGGTTCTGCCCAAGAACTACTGACATGAGGCTCAATTATACTTGTATATCAACTCTTGGCAAATTTGTATGTGAACTTCTATCATGATCATGAGTATAAATTGTAGGAATTTTGTATGTTACATCAAAATTAAGAATAGTCTGAATACAGTTGGTAAACAGTTAGTTGGGGGTATGGATTTGGACACAATCAGAAATTTAAAAGTAACTCAAGCTATTTGTGAAGCTTACTTATAGAAGAAAAAGCAATATGTTGAGCTTCATTCTTGTATGACTGGTGTATATTAACTGCTGGGGATTCGGAATGTACACTATGGCGGGCCCTTTTCAAGTCCTATTCATATTTGAGAGCATTATTCATAATTCAGTTTTTAATAAATTTTGACCAATAGGGGAGGGGGATTTGAACTTGGGACCTCTTCCAACTTTGGAAAGAGGAGTAGCGCTAGACTAAGAGCTAGTTGGTATCGTACTTGATTTGTGAATTATAACATGTCTTACTTATTTGCTTCGATAGGAATAAAATGGTGGTAGTGTTGTCCCAACAGAAAATGATAATATAGAAGATGCCTTGATGTTGTTTCTGTTATCCTGTAATCTCTCTTTTGGACTATATTTAAGTTGCTTTATTTATTTTAATTCTGTGTTTTTTACAGGTAAATTGTTAGGTTGCTTTTTGGGGAAGTGTTCAGGTAGTATAAGATCCATAGCAAGGCACCCTGAGTTTCCAGTGATAGCATCATGTGGTGAGTGCGTGGTTGCAGTTTTAAATATTGGGCATGCTTATTATTACATTTTTGAAGTCATTCTCAGGATCTTGAACATTTGTTTGTAATTTTTAAACTTTATCGGTGAAGTTTATGAGTTCTCTTTGGAAACCAAAATTATCTTCATACTGATGCTAAGTTCTCCTTTCCTCCTATCCTAGGATTGGATAGCTATCTACGGCTTTGGAATGTGAAGACGCGGCAACTACTTTCTGCTGTATGTTATCGCCCTGTATTGTTTTGCTTAGTATCATGGTTTCATGCATACTCAAGTAATGGGCTATTTTTATATATTAAAGCTCATGGCAACAGATTTTAAATGTGGTTAGAAGAGTAACAATCATTTATGCTGCAGCTTTGTCATTCTTTTAGATTAATTGTGCAGGTTCACCTGAAGCAGCATCTGACAAACGTTCTTTTTGATTCCAATTTTGCTGATGAAGGTTTGTTTTCCTATTTCCTAGCTCTGATCTGAGAGTTGCGCTATCATGTAATTGTTCCCCAAAGCTTTGGCTGCAAGTTTACCTTTCTATTCTGTAGAAGCAGAAATTGCCCATTCTGCAGCAGATTGGCCGCTGCATGAAGAGAGAGACGAGGGCGAAACACCACCTTTGAAAAGGAAGAAATCAAAGGAAAAGAAAGGAATCAAGAAGGAAGCTGAAGCAAAAAGTGGAAACAAGGACGATGAGAGAGATGAGCCGCTGCATGAAGATGAGAGAGATGAGAGCGAAACACCACCTGTGAAAAGGAAGAAATCAAAGGAAAAGAAAGGAATCAAGAAGGAAGCTGAAGCAAAAAGTGGAAACAAGGAATCTTCTGAAGAATATGGAGGCAAGAAGGTGAAATCCAAGAAAAGTAGCAAAAGATTAGAAATGTGAAGATCTCGCAGATATATCGTGATCCTGATGGCGCCAAAGTATGGAGCATTTATATGCTTGTGTAACAGGGGAGGGGGTGGTGCCAAACATGCCAAGGGTGAAAGGCAATTGCTGCCCGACAAATTTTTGATAAAAGAAAAAAAAAAAAACATTAGCAATATTGTAAATTGGTTTCTCTTGGCCCTATGGAGCAAGGAAATCGGTGAAATAGTTGTTTAATCAGATTGGAGTTTGGACTTGAAATGCGATTTACCTTTCGTACAAGAGATTATTGTGGTTCACATATTATTTGGGGTAAGGGTGATCCAACTGATAATCTTTTTGAATGAAAGTGCAAGTTTTTCAGCAACCTCTGTATGTAACGTTTTAAAATTCATTCCTTGTTACTCTTTAACGTCCTCGCACCGTAACAGATTTTACGTCTTCTACACAATTGAGTAAAAAACAAATATTTTATTTATAAAAAAATATAATAAAAAAACCAGTGTATGACATTAAATACAAATTAGACGATAGAAGAAGAGGTTTCACTGAACATCTATCTGCTGAGTTAATATCAAAGTAGAACTGTATTAAATGAGTCATACACGAGATCAACACTGTTTTGGGTAAAAATCACAACAAACAACACAATGGACCAGCAAATGAATGAAAGAAGCAGCACGCTACTCGGACGCAGGTTCATCCTTCTTCTGGGGAAAGTACCTATCATAAAGCAAGAAAATGACAGTAAATCTCAAGATATTGTGTTTGAGGCAATGCATGCAGTGCCTTCTTATTAAGGGGCAATTTATGTTTAGGCTCAACCATTTTTGATACAAAAGGTCGGAGTAAAGAAAACCCCACCTAAAGGAAGTTATGACAATTGACAACTCAACTAAAGCATATTGCCATTTTTATTATAAATTTATTTCTACTTTTCTAAAATTGATGATAAAATCAGCTAGTCACTTACCCCTGACCCCTTGCCCAGCGAGAGAGTTGATAGAGTTGGACAGTCTCATTTGAGACATGGCATGCCAAAAGTAGATAATTGCGAGGCTGTACCATCCATGCGAATCTCATAAACAATGCAGAATAAACGCACATTGCTGCAGAACCAAATCCAAAGTAAATTACAATCCTGTAACATAATATATACTGAAAATAACTGACATCCTTGAAAACCAGTTATCTTGGACCTGCTGTCATGTTGCCAGAAATCATTTCTGGAGGTTTGTTCATATCCGCCAATCCCTGTTAAATCAGCCCATTATGATCAGAATTAGTCAAAAAGCAAGAAACCTCATTTGAAATCAAATACATTCTAGATATCATGAAAGTGAAGCATACAGCGGCAACGAATCCCCAGTTTGCAATAGGTCCCCAAAAGTGAGTTGTTTTTGGACCAACTGGACTGTTCAAGAATGCTCGGAATGATGCCATGTCACAGCCGCTTAGAAACTCTGTAAAGTCAGAAGAAGAAAACGACCATTCAACAATGACAAGATACGGTGCCGGGGGGCACGCATGGGTAAAATATGAAAATAGGCCTCGTTTGCCATGCAGGATTGGATATCATGGGATTATTACCTAGTATTGGATGATACTGGATCATATTTAATATCCTTAATCCTATCCTACGATTGGTGTTACGTGGGACAAAGAATCAGGATAATGTTAAAAACATGCTATTTCAGACACGAATCAGCTAACAAACAAAATTTTCAATTGAGGAGCAAGCTAATCTCAGGGTGTTTTAACTAGAAACCAGTTGCCCACACTAGCTATGCCAGAAATTCTTCACTCCCAGAGATGACCCAACCCAAGTATGCGAAAACATATGACTTAATGAAACTCACTGTGAGAAGGAGTTTTCCTATTTCAAAAGCTCTTTTTTATTTTTTATTTTTCTCCCGGCAATTGGGCTAATGCCGTATTACTCTGAGAAGAACAAAACAACCACATGAAAATTTTCATTTGCACAACAAGAATTAAACTTTCATGTATCTAAACAATCAAATGCATGATTAAGATAATGATTTCGCGTCAAATTACTGTTTAATTGCTTAAATGAACATCAGAAATCATTGAATCATTTAAAAGACAAAACTAGGACTTCAAACGATATACCCAATTGCAGTCACAGGACAGACACACACTCGTACAGACATTGAAACACTGCAAAGAAAGACCCATGAAATGTAAAAGAGAAACCCACAATAAATTCAATAGTGCATGATCAAATATGTTTTGGAGAAAATGAAAAATCCAGCAAAATTCAAGCATTAAAACTCACATGTTAATCAAAACAAAACGCAAGATCTTGACGATGAAAGAGAAGCACTGGGGACGAAGGAGACACCGACCACAGAAGAATCACTTATGACGAACAAGTCCCAGAAAAGAAATAAGAGATCGGAAATGACATGGTTTGAGCCAGAGCCAGAGATGGGTGGGGTTCGCTGGAAACGGCTCAAGTTCGGCGGCTGCGACCTATAGAGATGGAGAATTCTAAGGGGTTGGGTTGGGCTCGAACGTGACAGGATTGTGGATTGTAGATCCAATTCAAGCCCACCAAACAGGCCCATAATGATTAGAATTCAATTTGCCACCTGTCGAAACTTGCTCCTGAAAAAACTCAGCTAAGAAATGCTCTCTCTCACTCACTGGTCTGAAAACCCAGATGCAGTTGCAGTACCTTCTCCTACCGCTAACTCCAAAACATTGTATGTAGAGGATGATTTTGATATATTTTATATTATACTAGCATTTTGGCGCGCATGCCTTTTGGCCTTTATAACAATTTGAATTTGAATTTATACCTATTACAAACACTGCTAATTTATGTGTTATCTCAAGGTCTAAAATATCGATCGTATCATAAATATCGATAGTCCAAAAATACAGAAATTTCTATGAAAATATTGTGATATTATTGATACCGATAAAAATTGAATAAAAACCACTAAAATTGTAAGAAAATCTTGGAAATTTTTATTGAAACTTTGGATGATGTTTATTAAGTCAATTATCTATTAGTTTATCACAAAAAATTGGAAAGAAATGCATTGCATGATGGTTTAACTGATTTAAGTTAATTATATAGTGAGTTGACAAACACTGTGAATGTAGAAAATATGTAGTAATTAATAAAAGAAGATTAAACATACCATAATCATTTATATATAATGATTTACTACAATATTTTACACTTTATACATTATATGATAAGATACATGAGTGACTTAGTACTACACAGAGTTCTTATGAGGTTCAAATTTTTCACTATCTTCATCATCTCTATGTGTAGAGTAAGTGTATTATGAAGAGCAGTCATCAAATGATAAACCTCCAAAATAGTTATGTAATTGTTCAAAACAAAACAATATAAATATACATATTTTAGATATTATCACAAAAACATAAGCAATATTGTGGTAAAGGCGTTGGAGGAGTAAAATGGTAAGGGTTTGAATCCCCTTTGTGTGTGTGCTTTGTGTATTTTCGAATATTATGGTCAATATTATAGATATTTATACAATATGTGTATGGATACTTTCTGAAATATCCGTGACCTGAAAAAATGATAAATATCGATAATATTGACGATATGTGTAGAGTATGTGTATAGACTATGATAATGACCACTTTGGCATAGTTTTCAGGACTCTGCATACATATGAAAACCTTTTCCTTAGGATTTTCCAAATACACAAATCCTAAGGAAAAGGTGTTCACATGTGCAGCAATATATAGTTCAATCTTCAAATCCAACATCCCCACCTTTATTTTCTTCTCTCTTTATTCAGCTGTTAAACTTCTCATGGAATTTGACATTGGTCATAATCTCAAGTCCCTGATGCTTCTGGAAAAGTTATTGTTTCTGAGCTTCAACTTCTAACATGATTTGAACAAACGGATTTGGTTCTCCTAGAAAATTTAGTGATCAGATGAGCAATTCTGGGAGAAATCTGCCTGGGAACATCTTCCTCAGCCTCACTATCATCTGAATCAAAGTAACAAAAAGAGGAACTTGTGCCCACCTTTATTTCATAGCTCCATTTCTGACTGCATGGTTCTTTTTTACGACAGCTACCATTTGCAGGTGAGAGTTCATTTGCTGAAGAATTATCATCATATGTAATATATGTGATTGAGGTTCTGGTGGACCGCTCCTTGTATAGTTTTGTGATCCCTTTCTCATTGTATGGCTCTGGAAACGAAACAAGTTATGTCTGCTGGAGAACATGGACATTGCTCGAACTTAGCATAGCCGGCGGGCGACTCTTTTTTATTATTATTTTATAAATTGTATAGCCGCCCGGCTATAATGAGGCCGGCCCCTCTTAATTTTTTTCTTTTATAAATACTATAGCCGTACGGCTATAATCGGGTTTTAAAATTTCTTTTTCAAAAATGGTATAGCCGGCCGGCTATACTGTTTGCGCGGGCCATTTTTTTTTGGTTTTATGAATAGTATAGCCGCGCGGCTATACGGGGTTAAAAATGTCTTCTTAAATAATAGTATAGCCGCAAATTTTTTTTCCAAAAATGGTATAGCCGCTCGGCTATACAGTTTTTGGACTGGCAATTTGTTTGGATATTATAGCCGCGCGGCTATACTCGGTTTTTTAATTTTTTTCCAAAAATAGTATAGCCGCTCGGCTATAGTTTTTGGACTGGCAATTTTTTTGGATATTATAGCCGCACGGCTATACTCGGTTTTTTAATTTTTTTCCAAAAATAGTATAGCCGCACAACGATACCATCTAGTATACCCCTTCATTTAAATGAAGAGCTTAATTGCGAAATGGACTTAAACTGTACTTTGAAAAAATCACTCCTTTGTTCAGAGCTCCAAGCATTTAAATTATCCAAAGGAATTGGGGATGAATTTCCACCGGGAGAAGAAAATTTTAAACTAAATTCTTGTCCCTTGTAGTCCTCTACATAAAATTCACAGTTATCGTCATCTGAACCAGAGTCATCAAAAATCACAGCTGCATTTCCATAAGAATTCATTCCCTCTGTGCCTTGATGGATCTTACCATCACCAACAAAAGAACCCCCAACAGGGCTTTCTAAGACATTTGTGTGATTGTTACCAAAATTTCTTGAATGAGAACAAAAGGAAGAACTAGATTGTTTTCCAGTCCTCATATCTCCGAAATAAGAAATATGATCATTCCCTTTCAAAACATCTGTATGATCATCACTTGCATATACCACCTCCGGTTTACTCAACTGTCTCTTCATACTCAGTTCACCTAATAAGTCAATATTTTCAGGTTCAGATGACTTCTTTTGAGGATAATGATCTGCCATTTGGGGAGTATAAGTAATATGCTCATTCCATCTGGAATTACCTTCCCAATCGTCACTACAAAAGGTTGACTCAGATCGAAAAGAAGGCATGCAAGATTTATTTTCAGATCTTATATCTCCAAAACCAGCTTGCAAGTCACTCTTACATCACCTCAGATTTACTGGACTGTTTCTTCATACTCACGTCACCTAAAAAGTCGAGCTTCTCAGGTTCAGATGACTTCTTTTGAGGATATCGATCTGCCATTTGGAAACTATTCTCCGAAATGGAAGTTGTACTGGTTCTCGAGGAGGCTGACCAGCAAACTTTGTCATGTGATTCTGATGATATGAGCATTGCCGTGAAAGTTCTACAGCTGCTCTGGCAGTTATGCTTGCCATTTCTGCTGAATCAGCAGCTGCCTGTGCTGCAGTGGTAGCATCCTCGAATTGCCCGTTCCAATTCTTCCTACCGGAAGAAAAATCATTTCCATCCCCAGGAACAGGACATAGATGCCTGTCTTCCATCCCATCAGTTTCATTTCCTGTATGCATATGTCCAATTAATTATCAAACAAGTGATAAATTCAAAACACCACCACTACACACTAAAACTCAATAAATCACCATTGCACTGACTATTGATGTACCTGAAGACCCCACTTCTGGATAAAATCTGCAAGATCTGGTTTCTCTGTTGCCAGAAACATTTATAGAAGCAGAATGTTGGAAGCAAGTATAGCCGATCGGTTATATTATTTCTTTTAAAAAATTGAAAAAATCTAGTCTAGCCGAGCGGCTATACTGTTCCTTTTTAAAAATTAAAAACCGATTATAGCAGGGCGGCTATACTATTTCTTCTTTTAAAAAAAAAGAAAAACTGAGTGCAGCCGAGCGGTTATTCTATTCATTTTAAAAAATTGAGAAAAATCTCGTATAGCCGAACGGCTGTACTATTTCTTTGTTAAAAAAATTCTTAAAACCAAGTATCGTTGCGCGGCTATTCTATTTCTTTTAAAAAAAATTAAAAAATGGGGTACAGCCTAACGGCTATACTTTTAAAAAAAATAAATTTAAAAACTGATATTTGAATAGTCCATATGCAGCGAAATGCGGATAAATTTAGAGACATTGATTCCTCTTTTTGCAATATTTTTTGGATGTTGAAGTACATGTTTGTTGTAACTGCGGTCTAGAATTTGTTAAGTATAAACAATCTTCGTGGAGAGATGAATGTAGTGCTTCTGGAGAGATGAACATTTTTGTGTAAAGTAACTCAAAAACTTAAAATCAATGTGGTTTTGACACGTGTCAAATTATTTTCTTTTTCTTTTTCTTTTTTGTTGAAAATTTGTCAATATTGCTGGAAAATTCCAAATTATCCACCAATATATTCAACCCCATACATTGCTAGAAAATTCGTTGATTATTAGATAGGTATTCTTTCTAATATAATTTCTTACACTGTTCGTTAATTTTTTTTTCTTAAGTTGTTTGGTTCCTAAGAAAATTTCCAACTTAGATTATAGTCCTAGAAATCCTTCTAGGACTGAAAACAAGCATATATCCTATGATGAGGCTAAGAGACAATTGAAGACAATGACTTTGTAGTGGAATTAAGAGTCGCCAGCCTTGCAGATCTTGACCGGTTTCAGCCTCTAACCACCACGGTGTTTCGGTGTTTGTTGATTCTCTAAAAAGGCTTCTAGGTGTAATTGGGTACTAATTTTGACGTCATTTGGGTGTATTCAAGTGGTTTTTTTTGCTAGATTTGAATTTTTTATTTATAAAAACTGACATTTATGATAAAAACCGAATATTTTGTTATAGTTAACAGATTAGATGTTTCTAATCTTTTTTATTAATTTTAACTTTTATGTGGTTTCTCTGAACGACTCAGCATCATCACAAGTGTTAAAACAACTTTTGCGTACGCATTGACCGCTTCTGATTGAAATCAAGGGTACGGACAACTTCTGAAGTTATCTTGCTTGAGGGTTTCCTAAATGTGCATGCATGCATGCCATATTTAGACAGCTTTCAAATTTAGTGTTTTTATCTTACCACATGTTTTTTTCTTCCACTGTGTATATAAAGGCCAAGTAGCTAGAAGATAGAAACTAACAAATTAAAATAATCAATTATGGTACTTAAATTAGGCAATCTCCGTTTC